TGCCCCGGGCTCCCGCGCGGCGTCACGGTTGAGGATGCGGTATGGCCCGGGGCCACCTGCCCCGAGCTCCCACGCGGCGTCCCGGCTGAGGACGCGGAATGTCCCGGGGCCACCTGCCTCGAGCTCCCGCGCGGCGTCACAGAAAGAGGCGCAGCGATCGGCGCCGATGAAAGGAGATGTGAGGCTGCCTACCCCACACTGTCTCCCCCTCGGCTGACAATCTGCGGCGTAGCCGGCTCCGACCGTGCCACGTGACCCTAAGCCTCCCTGATCAGAAGAGGAATGGTTGCAGCAACCTGCGCCGAGGAGGGAAGGTCCAAAGCCTCCTGCCCCGGACGGTGACCCCCACGGCCGGCCAGCGACGGTAACGAAGGTGCCGCAACGACCTCGCGCCCATCCGAGCTCCCAGGCAGAAAATCAAGCGCCGGAAGCGAGCGCTCAAAATCATCCTCAGACTCCACCCTCTCGCTCCAAAGCCTGGGCGGGGCCGACGCTGGCTGAAAAGATCCGAACCTCAGCGTGTTGTTAGGTATCGATGGAGAAGTGACCGGCTCTACCCCTGAACCAGTCTGTGGTTGCTGAGCACCTGATCCTGACCCGGATGTTCTCTCCCGATTCTCCTCATCCGTCGGATCCTTTCGGGTCCCCGCATGATCATCTCCGTCATTAGTCTCCATATCATTATTACCATCGACATCCGCAAACAACTCAGCATCCTCAAACTCAATCTCCAGGGGGAACACCTCACCCCTGTACACCCAGTTTACCACGTCAGGGACAAACTCAATGTCCAGAATACCCACTCGCAGTCTGGCAACCCCATGGGCGCGGGTGAAAATCATGTCCACCTTCTCTGTCTTACCAACCAACGTACCCAAGCTGGCCACCACAAGAGCATCAGAAAGAGCCTCAGAGGGTGCCCCAGTAAAACGCAGCCACACCTGAGTTAGGGGCTTCCCCTTCGGCTCCACCTTCTTCCACTCTTGAAACTCCAGAATACAATTAGTTCCTGGTACCTTGCACATCCCAAAACTCAGCAACCGCCGTAAGTCCTCAACTGACGGTAGGTCGACTCTGAACACCCGCTCCTCGATGAGAACAAGCTCCCACAGAAAGTCTCCCGGTGCCAATTCCTGAAGTCTGTGCACAATCTGAGCCTCAGAAACCTCACCCTGTGTCACCTTCACAATCGCAGTAGTCAAGCTCTGCGGCTGAACCGGAGTCTCTCTCGCGGCCGGTGACTCAAAAAATATCAGATCAGCACAATATACTCCGTATGCTATAAGTGCCGGAGCCTGGTCACGAAGAAGCGGGCAATCCCCCGAGGTGTGGGCCGGTTTACCACAAGTGTCACATAGCTCAGCCACACACTCAATAATGAAGTGACCTTTCTCACCACAGCGATAACAAAGCATTTTTTCTTTCCGACGTGCCCATTTAGAAGCCCTGTCCGACTCAGACCTGTTCTCCGCATCGGCCGAATCAGTCATGTCAACCTCCGCGGTGGCCAGGGCCGTGACTACCTCCATAGCCTCACCAGTCAAGGTCGTGGCCTGAACGGGATCAGCCTCGACCCCGCAAGCCTGCTGATCGACAGAATCCTGCGTCAGATACTGTCTGCGGAAACCGCGGCCACCCCCTCGACCACGACGGCGACCACGGAAGCCACCCCTGTGCCGTGCGTCTGGTCCCGAAGCGCCCTCCACGAAGCCTCCCGATGGGCCCAGAAAAGGCATCTCAGCAGAGCCATCGCTCTGCCAGGCATAACCTCGACCACCTCCCGTCGATGACGATCCACGGTGCTGACCCTCTCCATATGCATCATAACCATCATCCCCCCATTGCCCTCTGGGTGGTACGGAAGAGTCTGCATTCCCGGTAGCTCTCGTCAACGCGGTGTTAGACCGTGGTGGTCTCGAAACGAAAATAGGTGGCGGCCGGCCGCCACCAGTCTGCCCAGCTGGTCTAGAGATGATGACAATGCTAACAGTGTGATGGCATTGCTGAGAACAGAAAACAAAATCAAATGGACAGCCTTGCATGAGGCTATCAAGTCTGTCCTCTCTGGGCACGATGATATGGTCGAGTTGCTCATGAAGAAGGACCCGCAGTTGGCCAGTTTCCCGAAAGATGGCACATCGCCATTGTACCTGGCCATCTTGGAGGGGAAGAGTTTCATCGCGGAAACACTCTATGAGTTGAGCGGCGGGGTGCTCTCATACTCTGGACCAAATGGACAAAATGTACTGCATGCTGCTGTTCTCCGAGGCGAAGGTAAATGTGTTTTTCACCTGCCATTTTTCTTGGTACATTTTTGAAATAATATGTCCAGTTTAAAATACATTTGCTTCATTACATTTTGGATTCAGGACCATTAGTGTATTGTTTGAAGCAAGGTTATACGACGAGTTCTAAGTTCTAAAAACATATAGTTTTGTGTGCTGGAATAATCCAAACAGAGTTTTTATCGGTATGTTAGTTTCGGAGTTTCATATGTCGAGTAAGTAAACGATTTAGAGTTTAGGCAGTCACTGAATAGGCTATATATGTGAATACGCATAGCTTGTACACCACCAGAAAACAAGAAGAGAAATAAAGATAAAAAAGAAAAGACGCACGATATGTGCTCCCTTGCATGCGTTCTCGTCGACCAAATTCAGTGCGGATAAATGAAATTGTGTCTAGTGTTTCCGTTCATGCTATTTATTTTGTTGATATTTGGTCTGCTCAAGTAATTTATTTTGTTGATATTGTTCTTTCTACTCACAAACTATTGCCTGCGAATACGCTCCTCTGCAACACCTCTCCTCTGTTCAATTCTGTGTGCAGATTTCCCAAGGTGCACCTTTCTGAAACAATTCCCTTTTGGAGTCAAATGTTTGAATCGCTTGAGCAGACCAGCACAAACCGCTTGTTGGTAGAGGCGGCACCGGGTATCATTCATGTGGACAGTGCAGAGCAGCATTGGTTCCACCATCTTGTACTCTCAGCACCCCACAAGGATTCACTCAGGTAAGAGCACCCTAGAGTTAAATCCTACTCCTCCGTTTCAAAATAGATGACTCAATTTTGTATTACCTTTAGTATAAAATTAGTACAAAGTTGAGTCATCTATTTTAGAGCGGAGGGAGTATTTCTAGAGCGTTACAATATATTCTACTTTTCATTACCACTATTGTTTCCTAATTATTGCAAGTCAGTGATATTTGAGTGAAGAAAGGGACATATACTGTACAAATTTATTCCCATCACGAGCTGCTTGACATCTGATGCCAGTTTTCGTTGCTTATGTTCTTTGGCTATGGGGATGTACTAGCTTTTTGGTATCCTAGCATTGGAGTGAACTTTGCAAACGAGCTACTGCTGCTACTGGTGGAAATGTGTATGTTCCTTGGTGTTTCAGAAAGATGCTCCAGGTCTATGTAGGATTTAAAAAAATAGTACTTCGTTTCAAATAATTAGGCACTATACTCTAGATGAAATCACTCATGCAAGTGGTATTTATCATGTAGTTGATCAGAAAGAGACGTCTTACACTCACAGATGTTTTGCAGCGGCTTGTAAGTGTGCGACGAGTGGAGGAATTCACCCATAAGGCATCAAAAATTGTGTATTCTCCCATCCTCTACTCACCGGTGTTCAGTGGTAGTATGCACACCTTCACCCCAGCCTGCTGCACTGCGACTCGAGTCATGCAATCAATCTGACTCCATAGCTTCTGAAGTCAATAATGTCATGTTGATGTACTGTCAGGATTAAGTTGGATTAGTTAGGCACTTGACTATTCTGAGCAAGGTAATATATGAGGTTGCCTTTTCACAAGATACATTTACTAATATATGAAGTCAATATACAGGCTGAAACAATGATGATCTCACAAGATACATTTACTACAGAAAGATAATGTATTCAGAGAATGAGAGAATGCTGATTTGTGTTTTTGTTGCCTTTTCTTGCTCAGTTCAGTTAGTTCCTCCTATTCCATGTAAAAATGGCATAAATTTTTTTAAGCCCCAATGGAAAAATATTGTAGTGCAATTGGAATTTGTATAAAGAAACTATTTTTGTCCAATTTACATTCTTATGTTAGAAGATATTATTATTTTGTTTATCATGGGACAATATGATATGTAAGTATGTATTGTGTCTTCCTTTTGATGTAATAATCAATATTCTTGATCTTCTTTGAAACTATATGATTATACTTCTCCTACCCTGTGTCCCATCTGATGTATCCATAATTATATATTTTTGTGCTGTGTTTCTGGTGCCCATTTGAGGTCTGCAACTTCTCCAGTTCGTTGTATGCTTCAATACAATCTATTTTCCAAGTATTTACTGTGATGTTGCCGCTATATTATGTTTAATTCCATGTTCGTATGCAACTGCATACAAGGTTGTATTCTTGAACCAAATTGTGCATAGCCATCATTTTTTTTTACCATGGATAGGTTGGCTTAGGGCACTGCAAAAATTTATATGTAACTACGTTCCATGGAAGTTGTAATGTTGCCCGAAATGAAGGTTGGTTAAATACTAAGAGCTATAGGAACAACCAGATTCCTCCCTTTAGTTACAAACCATTATTTTCAAAAATAAAGAAAACACAAGCTATAGAAAAGCGTAATATTTCAAATCAATGCTTGCAAATCCACAAATTACGCTATATCCCTAACCAACTAATAGCCAAAATAGACGGGCGCAGCAACGCGCGCCATCAATGATCTAGTAGCGTATCAAAATATTCCTAAAGGGCTGCATGCTTACATGGTAATCACTGGTAATGTACACTGTCATTTTAGTTTTAAGCAGAAGCTTGTAGGTGAGCATAAACAACTGAGATTTGTGCGGTCTAACTTCTACTTATGTTGATTTTGCAGCATAGTGAAGCAAGAATACTCTCCTTACTTCAATATGCTGGTGCTAAAAGGGGTATCCGTCACCAGGATTACCTTGAGAAAAACAATATTGTCCAAAAAAAGCAGGGTGAAATAGATGAAATGGAGAAAGTGAAAGACGCGACACAAAGTCTATGTATTGGGTCGGTCCTTATCGCAACCGTGACATTTGGTGCAGCTTTTGCCATGCCTGGAGGTTATAGAGCTGATGATCACACTAATGGAGGCACACCAACACTCGCTGGAAGGTATGGTTTTGATGCATTCACCCTGGCCAACGGACTTGCGTTCATTTGCTCCACTATGGCAACAATTTCTCTCATGTCTTCTGGATCACGAATACGACATCCTCGGAGCCGGATAGAGCACTTACGCATTGCCTACTACCTCATGTCGGTTTCAGTTACAAGCTTGGTTGCTGCCTTTGCACTGGCTACGTATACCATACTAGCTCCACTTGCTCATAAGACTGCCATTGGATTATGTATCTTGAGTTCTCTCATATTGCTCTATCAAAATTGGGAATTGGCAAGCAATAATATTGCCATGGTAGCACCCCTCTGCAGGAGAAATGGGATAGTCTGGACATTTGGAGTGTCAGTATTATTTATTGTGGCCAATGTTCTAATTCAATTGTGGCCCATAATAGTTGTATTTTCTTTGGCCACAATAAACTACCATAGTCGAAAAGTGGAACCATTGGTACAACCGCCGACACCACTAACTTGAAGAGGGACCGAATATAGGTAGTAAAAGAGGACATATTATGTGTATCGATCAGTACCATATTTTCCAATTGTGATTTTTTCCGCATTATCAGCTCGAGATTTCTATCAGATATACTACCATTAGAATTGTGTTTTTGTTGAGAAACTTCAATAATATGTTTATGTGTTTTGTTGTGCTGTGACATTTCCGTGTAAGTGTTATTGTGCTTGTAACAATGTAAACAATCATCAGTGTAATTGCTTTGTGATGATATATGCAATTCATCTGGCCTAATAGAAGGAGCTATGTTATTTTCTGTTATGAATTGATCCTTTTAACAATTATTTTGAGTATAAATTCCTCTATACTGCTTGCAAAGAAATCACTCCCCCGTTCCATAATTCTTGTCGTGGTTTTAGTTCAAATTCCATAATTAATTTGAACTAAAACCACCACAAAAAATATGTAATGAAGGGAGTACTTATTTTGGTCTTGCCGGCTGGCCACACCTGTAGAATGGTGTCACATGCTCTGCCATGCCACTAGTGGTCTCTTGGTATGTCTTCCCAAGAGGATACATGATGGAGGGCCTAATGGTCTCTTGGTAAGTCTTCCCAAAGAGCATCATTTTTCTTACAGAACCCACTAAAGAACCAACTGGCTCAGTTCCCCGGCAGGGTCGGCAACATCGTGCGGTGTCGTCTTCCGGAATCCAGGGCAATCGGATGACATCATCGCGTATGGCGGCTGGCCATTGCCTCCTAAGAGAAGGGAAAAGCCTACTAAGTATCCCACTTCCCACCTAGGTGGTGCTTCCTGTATCGGTACAGAGGTATGGATATCTTGTCATGACCTTTGCATATGCGAAATCCAACGGAAAATAACACTCAATCCAATACAACGCATGACTATATCGTCAAAGATGATGCATTGCTCCTCAATCTTTGTGATCCAAACAGGAGGCAGACTGAATAAAAAATGTACTTACATGCTATATATGTACAAGGTTGCTGAGTGTCGTTAAGACAGTGAATACAGTCAAAGCCCAGCAGGTAATACTAGGTGGATTGTTAAACTATAGGCATTGAGGTCACATTTCACGAGCTGCAATTATATGAAAATGTTGTTTTGCAGCTATAACATGCCCGTCGATGAGGAAAAAACAGAGCATGCTGTCTGACACTTAATCCAATCCACAAGGTCGATGCAACAAGTTATTGAATCTTCTTGCAAGTTCAGAAAGAAGAAAAATCCAGTGCGTGTTGTTCTATCAAATCCTACATTAAGTTTTTGGTGTCATATCTTCACATTGCCCGTGTTGGGGAACGTAGCATAAATTCAAAATTTTCCTACGTGTCACTAAGATCTATCTATGGAGTCATCTAGCAACGAGGGAGGAGTGGATCTACATACCCTTGTAGATCGCGCGCGGAAGCGTTCAAGAGAACGGGGTTGATGGAGTCGTACTCGTCGTGATCCAAATCACCGATGATCCTAGCGCCGAACGGACGGCACCTCCGCGTTCAACACACGTACGGAGCAGCGACGTCTCCTCCTTCTTGATCCAGCAAGGGGGAAGGAGAGGTTGATGGAGATCCAACAACACGACGGCGTGGTGGTGGAAGTAGCGGGATTCCAACAGGGCTTCGCCAAGCGCTACGGGAGGAGGGAGATGTGTCATGGGAGGGAGAGGGAGGCGCCAGGGCTTCTGTTGGTGCTGCCCTCCCTTCCCCCACTATATATAGGGCCAAGGGAGAGGGGGGGCACAGCCTTGGCCCTTCCTCCAAGGAAGGGTGCGGCCAGGGAGGAGTCCCTCCTCCCCAAGGCACCTCGGAGGTGCCTTCCCCCTTTAGGACTCTTTCTTTTCCTCTTCTCTTGGCGCATGGGCCTCTTGGGGCTGGTGCCCTTGGACCATATAGGCCAAGGCGCATCCCCTACAGCCCATGTGCCCCCCCGGGGCAGGTGGCCCCACCCGGTGGACCCCCGGGACCCTTCCGGTGGTCCCGATACAATACCGGTGACCCCGAAACTTGTCCCGATGGCCGAAATAGCACTTCCTATATATAATTCTTTACATCCGGACCATTCCGGAACTCCTCGTGGCGTCCGGGATCTCATCCGGGACTCCGAACAACTTTCGGGTTACCGCATACTAATATCTCTATAACCCTAGCGTCACCGAACCTTAAGTGTGTAGACCCTACGGGTTCGGGAGACATGCAGACATGACCGAGATGACTCTCTGGTCAATAACCAACAACGGGATCTGGATACCCATGTTGGCTCCCACATGTTCCACGATGGTCTCATCGGATGAACCACGATGTCAAGGACTTAATCAATCCCGTATACAATTCCCTTTGTCTATCGGTACGACACTTGTCCGAGATTTGATCATCGGTATCTCGATACCTTGTTCAATCTCGTTACCGGCAAGTCTCTTTACTCGTTCTGTAACACATCATCCCGTGATAAACTCCTTGATCACATTGTGCACATTATGATGATGTCCTACCGAGTGGGCCCAGAGATACCTCTCCGTTTACACGGAGTGACAAATCCTAGTCTTGATTCGTGCCAACCCAACAGACACTTTCGGAGATACCTGTAGTGTACCTTTATAGCCACCCAGTTACGTTGTGACGTTTGGCACACCCAAAGCACTCCTACGGTATCCGGGAGTTGCACAATCTCATGGTCTAAGGAAATGATACTTGACACTAGAAAAGCTTTAGCATACGAACTACATGATCTTGTGCTAGGCTTAGGATTGGGTCTTTGTCCATCACATCATTCTCCTAATGATGTGATCCCGTTATCAATGACATCCAATGTCCATGGTCAGGAAACCGTAACCATCTATTGATCAACGAGCTAGTCAACTAGAGGCTTACTAGGGACATGGTGTTGTCTATGTATCCACACATGTATCTGAGTTTCCTATCAATACAATTCTAGCATGGATAATAAACGATTATCATGAACAAGGAAATATAATAATAACCAATTTATTATTACCTCTAGGGCATATTTCCAACAGTCTCCCACTTGCACTAGAGTCAATAATCTAGTTCACATCGCCATGTGATTAACATTCACAGGTCACATCGCCATGTGACCAACATCCAAAGAGTTTACTAGAGTCAATAATCTAGTTCACATCACTATGTGATTAACACTCAATGTGTTCTGGGTTTGATCATGTTGCTTGTGAGAGAGGTTTTAGTCAACGGGTCTGAACCTTTCAGATCCGTGTGTGCTTTACAAATCTCTATGTCATCTCCTAGATGTAGCTACCACGTTCTATTTGGAGCTATTCCAAATAACTGTTCTACTTGGAGCTATTCTAAATTGTTGCTCATTATACGTATCCGGTATCTCTACTCAGAGCTATCCGGATAGGTGTTAAGCTTGCATCGACGTAACCCTTTACGACGAACTCTTTTACCACCTCCATAATCGAGAAAATTCCTTAGTCCACTAGTTACTAAGGATAACTTTGACCGCTGTCCTGTGATCCATTCTTGGATCACTCTTGTACCCCTTGACTGACTCATGGCAAGGCACACTTCAGGTGCGGTACACAGCATAGCATACTGTAGAGCCTACGTCTTAAGCATAGGGGACGACCTTCGTCCTTTCTCTCTATTCTGCCGTGGTCGAGCTTTAAGTCTTAACTTCATACCTTACAACTCAGGCAAGAACTCCTTCTTTGACTGATCCAACTTGAACACCTTTAAGATCATGTCAAGGTATGTGCTCATTTGAAAGTACCATTAAGCGTTTTGATCTATCCTTATAGATCTTGATGCTCAATGTTCAAGTAGCTTAATCCAGGCTTTCCATTGAAAAACACTTTCCAAATAACCCTATATGCTTTTCAGAAATTCTACGTCATTTCTGATCAACAATATGTCAACAACATATATTCATCAGAAATTCTATAGTGCTCCCACTCACTTCTTTGGAAATACAAGTTTCTCATAAACTTTGTATAAACCCAAAATCTTTGATCATCTCATCAAAGCATACATTCCAACTCCGAGATGCTTACTCCAGTCCTCAGAAGGATTGCTGGAGCTTTGCATACTTATTAGCATCTTTCAGGATTGACAAAACCTTCCGGTTGTATCACATACAACATTTCCTCAAGAAAAATCATCGAGGAAACAATGCTTTGACATCCTATCTGCAAGATTTCATAAATAATGCAGTAATTGCTAATATAATTCCAACAGACTATTAGCATCGCTACGAGTGAGAAAGTCTCATCGCAGTCAACTCCTTGAACTTGTAGGAAAACATCTTAACGACAAGTCGAGCTTTCTTAATGGTGATACCTACCATCATTGTCCATCTTCCTTTTAAAATCCATCTGCACTCAACAGCCTTACGACCATCGAGTTGTTCTGCCAAAGTCTACACTTTGTTTTCATACATGGATCCTTTCTCGGATTTTATGGCCTCGAGCCATTTATCGGAATCCGGGCCCACCATCACTTCTCCATAGCTCGCAGGTTCATTGTTGTCTAGCAACATGACTTCCAAGACAGGATTACGTACCACTCTGAAGTAGTACGCATCCTTGTCATCCCACGAGGTTTGGTAGTGACTTGATCTGAAGTTTCATGATCACTATCATAAGCTTCCACTTCAATTGATGTAGGTGCCATAGGAACAACTTCCTGTGCCCTGCTACACACTAGTTGAAGAGACGGTTAAATAACCTCATCAAGTCTCCACCATCCTCCCACTCAAT